TTTAGCATTGTTGGGATTAGCTATTGGATTTGTGTGGTTCTGCATGTTACAGTGTAGAAAGCTCTCAAACAAGAATTCAGATACAGGCTCTTCAGATCCATCTGCAGCAGGTACTGTTTCAGCAAAATTAACCACTGAGATTTTCAGTGTTTTTCATCTCTTGTTACCATTTACTAATTTCCTGCTCAATTAACACAGTGGAGTTGAAAAGAGGAGGCCCGCCCAGTTCATCTGTGGCCCCACCTCTGTTTGGACCACATGGAGCAAGGAAATTCTCCATAGAAGAGTTGGTGCAAGCTACCAAGTATTTCGATCAAAGCAATCTCATTGGATATGGAAGTTTTGGTTTGGTTTATAAAGGATTGCTTTCTGATGGCACTGTTGTGGCTATCAAAAGGCGTACTGGTGTCCCTCGACACGAATTTGGTGACGAGGTATAGCTAACTTGCAATGTACATCCTTTATTCGGCAGTTATACGAAAAACTTAATCCTTTCTTGCACATTCATTTCTATAAGAAGGTAGGCTAAATTGACTAAATAAGTCACCATATTACACTTTCAGATATTTTTTAGAGATGTTATTGAGACCAATCTTTGAACCTCTGAGATCTCCCATTTTGAATAACAGGTAGTCTACTTGTCAGGGATTTGGCACCGCAACCTAGTTACTCTTCTAGGTTACTGCCAGGACAGTGGATACCAAATGTTAGTTTTTGAATACTTACCAAATGGCAGCATGTGCAAGCATTTGTATGGTAAGCCTCGTAAAGAGAGTAGTAATTTACATTTGTGCGTTGGATATATGTCATAGTAATTTGCTGTTAGACAGATACAGGAAAAGATTCAAAGACGAAACTAGAGTTCAAGCAAAGGTTATCCATAGCTATTGGGGCAGCTAAAGGTATCATCAAAACAATGTAATGAGATTTCCCATTTCACCCATATTAAAAAAAAATTTAAAAAAAAAAGAAAAAGAAAAAAGAATGACTCGATGAAAGGGTGTTTTTTTCACTAATGCAGGTTTATGCCATTTGCATAGTCAACACCCTCCCATAGTACACAGCAACTTTAAAACAGCTAATGTTTTGGTTGATGAGAACTTCATTGCTAAGGTTGCAGATGCTGGGGTTTCAAAACTATTGAAACAAATTGAAGAGGCAGGTCCATCTCAATCAACCAGTATCAATGTTTTCAAAGATCCAGAGTAAAGCTTTTTTCTTTCTTTTCTTTTTCTGGTTGCATTTCAGTTTCTAGCATAGAAAATTAGCTTTTAACAACACTGAATTTGTAGATTATATGAATTTATAGGGTAGGTCAAACGGGGATATTCTCTGAAATGAATGATGTGTACAGCTTTGGGGTTTTTATTTTGGAGCTCATAACTGGAAGAAAGGCTTCAGATATAGACTCCTTTGGATCAGATGAAAATATACTTCACTGGGTATGTAGTGAAATCCTTTTACTTTTGTATTGGATAAGGTATCCAAGGGGAGGGGGAATATTGATGTGGGTGAGACTTGACCCTGCATCAACTGGGATGTGGATCGACACCCAGAAACAGGACCATCCCTTAGTTCTCAACACAAACGTTTTATTACTTTCTTCTTCAGCATAGTCTCATCGTAATTTAAGCGATGAATTTGAGAATTATTAATCAGAAATCTCTAAAACATGAGAATAACTTGTGAACTCGTATGTTCTTAAAGGTCAGCAGTGACTAGAATGAAGCAATTATATGTTGTCATTCTAGAATAGTTCGGATATATCAAAGATTCACTGATATTCTAGGAAATAATTTTGTTTACTATGATATTCTAATTTTAGGAAATTATAAAAAAATATGAACAATTTACCAGTATCTGGTTTAGATACAAAAAATAATCTTTTTTTTCTTGTTAGAAATGAAATTTTATTGTCCCCCTGTGCTTCTAGTGTACTGTGAAAATATGTTACCTGAATACCTCTTACCTTCGATTTGAGGTTTCAACGGATTTAGCCAAGAAAAGTTTAGTAAAGGTGTGTGCGGATTGACAACTAAAAGAATTGTTGGTTCAATATCTTTCGTGTTTTACTTCCTTTTTTTGTGTGTGCTCGTGTGTGTGACAAATGAAAGTGATTGGGTACCTCACTCGTACCCGAGAATTGCGTAGAGGCCAGTTAATATTGTAGCTTACTTGCTTTGTTCCACTTTATGAAGGTTGAAACACATTTGAGTTCAAATAACTTAGTGGACAATCGATTAGTTGGGAGCTTTACTGAAGAGGCGATGGAAGATTTTATCAGGCTGATGCTACGATGCACGAGGTTTCCAGGAAGAGGGAGACCAAACATGGAAATGATCACCATAGAGCTTGATCGGATACTTGAAAAAGAGATCATGCTCACAACAGTCATGGGCGAAGGAGGTACTGCAACCGTTACACTGGGAAGCCAATTGTTTGCATAATAAGGAAATTGAGGAGGTACTGAAACTTATGGATGTTATTTAAGATTATTTTTGCACCGGCGCTAAGCAGCCGGTGACTATCTCCGGTTTGATCTTCTCTTTTTTTTACCTTCTTCCGAATTTTTTGTTGGAAGAAAAAAGGGAAAGCTCCATTTGATGTATATTAACTTAAATTCTCTCTCATTCTTTTTTTCCCCCCTCAAATGATGCAAAATGCTAGTCTTGATCAAAGAAGGACAACTTGGAAACATTTAATAACTTCCAGTCCTGAATTACATGCTGTTGCTTGATAATGTACATTCATCTGATCTGTTGTTCTTTAATGTACATTTTTATCTGATCTGTTGCTCTTTAATGTACATTTTATATCTGATCTGTTGTTCTTTGGATATAGACTATAGTCACAGTAGAGAAAGAAGTAAGAGAGAGAACCCGAAATAAAGTGTAAATAGCATCATGCTCGAACAGAACTAATGGGTGAAAATCTAGCTAGTTTTGCATATAATCACAAAAGAGCCCATCACCTTCACCTTTTAATCAAAATGCAAGTTAGAGAGTCATATCAGATTTCTATCCCTTGGAGAAACTGAACTCTTCATCTCTTTCCTAGTAGAAAAGCGAGAAGTCGCTATTTATCAAAATTTGAGTTTCTCCACAAACTTTAAAGAACTAAACATATGACACCTAAATCTTAAAAATAAGTGGGGGCAATGAGGATAGAAACACTCATAGATATGTGTGTTAACTTTTTTCTGAGAATGGATCAATTGTTCTTAGTATGGCATGCCAAAAAACTGAAAGGTAGAAATTTCTACAACAACGAATATGCGTGTGATTTTGTTAATTTCTTGATTGTGTGCCAAAAATCCATGCATTCAAGAGAAAAGTTACAGAGAAGGATGGAAGAAGTTACCATTCCTATGACTCAAGTGTTCTATTACTGCCAAGACTGTGGCTGCAATATTTTTGGTTACCAGCTTCAATGTTGTGCCTCAGCGGCCTGCAAGGAAAACCAATGTGAGAAATAAACAGCATAACAACGCCTTGACCAAGTAAAACATGCATAAAATGAACATTCGGGGGTGAGTTCACTAAATCTCAACTTAACTCAACAAATCTTAATCCCAATTATTTGGTGTTGGCTAATTGGAGTATCGTATTCCATTCACTACACATATCCCCCACCCCCAAATAAAAAGAACAAAAATGAGGAGGAGGGAGAAGAATTGACACAATTCAAAAGACCTAATCACCATCCTGGAAAAGTACTAGCATCAAGTTCAGAATTTTGCCCCCACACTTTCAAAAAAAAATTCTTTTTTCTTTTTTTTTTGGGGTGGGGGGGGGTTTTAAGTTAAATCCTTCTTACAGGCTGTTTCTATGTTCATATCTCTGTGCTATGATCAAATTCCCTTGTTTCTATGTGGTGGAAAAGTTAAAAAAAAATTCTCTTGCAGCTGCTTCAGTCAGCCCCCACAAGATTCCATGTTCCCTCTTTCACCAACTAAATCTAGACCAATATAGGTTATGGGTCCTCAAAGATTTCAATCTTTTAGGGTACTCTACTAATCTCACTTTCTTCTTGTCATATCAGTGTAACCATTAAATGAATGTTAGCATTCTGATTCCACCGTCACCAACCGATTGTAAACCTGGTGGGGGCAAACCAAATTGCACAAATAACCCTCTCTCTCTCTCTCACACACACACACATATATGGGTATAAATTATTTCACAATCTTACATATGGGTATAAATTATTTCACAATAAATATCGATGAAAGTATAACGATAAGGATTATAACTATTACCACAAATGGGTTGTTTGTCGATTCTCGTATTTACTATTGACTTTTACTTTTCTTTCATAACTTTGATTTCATTTAGTAATTTGATCCATAAAAATAATAACTTTGAAAACTGTCTAATATGCGTGCATATATATATGTGTGTGTGTGTGTGTGTCTATAATCATAGGGCACAGAATCCATATCTGCATAATTAACACCCAAATAGACAGTAGTGATAGATGGGGAATATCACTAAGCAATAGTTCTAACCCAGAAATAACAATAAAGAAGTACAAGATTAGCAGTAAATACCTGAAGAGTAGAGAAAATTACAAGAACTAGAAGCTTTTTTACAACAATCAGTTCAGCTTAGAACATTGCATGGCCTTTCATAACATTGTCTGTCTTCACACTACCAAAATTTGTTTGCATTTTTTGTTTGTTTGCAAGGATAGTGGAGAAAGAAGGAGCTAGACAATTTTATTCAAAGGGAAAAAATAGAGAAACGAAGATGAAAATTTTCGATTTTTCTCTTTTCTCTTGTTTGGGTAGAAGAGAAAATGGTAAGAGTTTTAGCAAGTTTTCCACCGTCTTCCCTATTTTATCTTCCCTTTTCCCCCAAACCAAACAGCAGGTAATGACACGTGGCCCGTTATCCTCTCCTCTCCTCTCCTCTCAAACTAAGTATCCCGCCACCATTCTCTCTGTCTCTCTCCCCGCCATGACTGTACCATTCATCACTGCACAGAACTGAGCTCCAACAATGGCGTCCCCTCTCTCTATATACTTCTCTCCATATTCTCTAGCTCGACCCAGCAACAATCAAACTCGAAACCGTCAAAACAAAGCGATACCACCCAGAAATCTCCGTAAGAATCCTAATTATGAGCACAAAACTCGTACAACCTCTCGCAACCTGCCTTTATCCTCCACCTCCGGCGGCGAAGCCACCACCTTTACTCGTCTCCCTCCCAAAGACGACTTTGTAGATTCTCCCTTCGATTCTACATTCCAATCTCCGGCGGAAGTCAAGCTCTCCGACTCCACCATCACACAAACCCCCAATAAAAATGTGTCTAAAGCGAAAAATGAACTCGAAAATGATCGATTGAGGAGTGAAGATGAAGAAATCGACGGAAAATTAGCGTTTGATTATGGAAATTTTGAGTTGTTTGAAATAAATTCAGATTCTGATTATGGAAGTGACGATGATTTGGGTGACGAGCATAATAATGATGAAATGTTGGGGTTTAGGATGAGGAGTTTGAAAATAAGGGGTTTGAGGAAGAAGGGAGGAGGAGGAGGAGGACAAAGAGAAGCAAAAAGGAGTGCCGGCGGTGATGAGATGTTTTGACCGGGCAAAAATATACGTCAAAGCAGGGGATGGTGGGAATGGGGTGGTGGCGTTTCGGAGAGAGAAATATGTGCCGCTGGGCGGGCCGTCCGGTGGAGACGGAGGAAGGGGAGGAAATGTTTATGTGGAGGTTGATGAATCGATGAATTCGTTGTTGCCCTTCAGGCAAAGTGTGCATTTTAGGGCGGGGAGGGGGGCACATGGGCAGGGGAGGAAGCAGAATGGGGCCAAGGGGGAGGATGTGGTAGTGAAGGTGCCACCAGGGACGGTGATAAGGGAGGCTGGCAAGGATGGTGTTGAAGGGAATGAGCTTTTGGAATTGTTGCATCCGGGGCAAAGGGCGTTGTTGTTGCCGGGTGGAAGAGGTGGGAGAGGGAATGCATCATTCAAGTCGGGGACAAATAAGGTGCCAAAGATTGCTGAGAATGGAGAAGAAGGTCTAGAAATGTGAGAATTTCTTGTTTCGATTGTAATTTTTTTCATGCAGTAATTGTGGTTCATAGATTATTTGAGTTATAATGGCTTTATAAGATCATACAGAATACTATATGGCATGCAAGGTTCTTTGCTTGATCAGAGTTCTTCCATCATTACCTGTCCCTGACTTGGGCAGAATTGGTGGGTGTGACATTTTATTTAGATCATCGTACCTTTTCTGAAATAAAACACATACATGGGAAGTTTTTCATTGAATTGCAATGACTTTTTTCATACCAATTTTTCAGAGCATTATCTGAATTTGAACAAGAGCAAGATTTTAGATATCCTTGCATGGGCTTACTTTGAGTTCATTAATGGTGGTTGGATTATTTAAATCTGTGACCTTGCATGAACAATTTGTCCCAAGACGATGGGTGGTAGATATTGACGTATGACCCCTTTTTTGGTAGTTATGTTAAAGTACTGGTTTTATTGGACAGGTGGCTGGAGTTAGAGCTAAAGCTGGTTGCAGATGTTGGAATAATTGGTGCTCCGAATGCAGGGAAGAGCACATTTCTCAGTGTCGTTAGTGCTGCTCAGCCAACTATTGCAAATTATCCCTTTACAACTTTACTTCCAAATCTGGGTGTAGTTTCATTTGATTATGATGCTACAATGGTCGTTGCTGATCTACCAGGTCTACTTGAAGGAGCACACCGAGGTTTTGGTTTAGGCCATGAGTTTCTTCGGCACACAGAAAGATGTTCAGTTCTGGTATAAACTTTAATAACTGCAGCTGCTTTCATTCTGAGTTATTAAGAATTTAGATTTATAAGTTTTGACATGGTAGTGATAGCAAAAGAAAGTTGTGATATTTGTATGTTTTTAGTTTCTTATCTTTTGGATTTTTCATTCTATATCATTTTGTGAACCTTAGAAATCATCTGATGACAGCATGTATTCTCATCATTTCTCAATGTAGAATTAGATCCTCCAGGCTTTCCTTTGGCAGGTTCTAGCACCAATAGTCTTATTCTGAAGTTGATGCATCACTGACTCACACTGGGGTGTGCTATCATAAGTTGTTACTTGTAAATGAACTGTATTAAACTACCATTTGAACACAGGTAGCCTTTGCCTGCATCGAAGATTCTTAAATGAACTTTTAGTTGGGTATTCAATGTTTCATTTAGGTGCTCCGCTTGTAGTTTTTCCTAGAATAATTAGGCTCAATTGAGGACCTCCCCCCTCTCCCCTTTTTGTCAGCATGGAGGACCTCCCCTTGATCTGGCCAAGTTTCTTCTTCTTGTGGTGGCATGCATTTCTGTGCCTTTTCTTTTTCTTTATTGATAAACCATTTTAGCCCTTGATGGGGCTGCTAATATTACTTCATGCTGCGAAGCATGGCAAGATGTAAAACTTTAAAAGCATTTCTAAGTGCGCCCAATATCTCATTTTATTATATTGTCATTGTTTCATTGCTCTATTTGTCAGTAAAGTACTGACAAAGGGGGATACTACTAATTCTTTTATGCCGTATAAGTTACCTTTCATGTAATTGCTCTTGGCGTTTTTCTTCATAATTTTATGACTATGCAATATTGCCTTTAGATTTTTGTTTCTTTCTACCTTTTTGTTTCGGTACTTGTGCCAATATTTTTTCTGAATAGGAACTAATGGAAACATTATAAATGGAGGCTTAGGTACATGTTGTTGATGGTTCGTCACAGCAACCAGAATATGAATTTGATGCGGTTCGCCTTGAGCTGGAAATGTTTAATCCTGATCTTGCTGATAAGCCTTATTTAGTAGCATACAATAAAATGGATCTTCCAGAGGCATATGAAAATTGGGTATCATTCAAGGAAAGACTACATATTCGTGGGATTGAACCTTTTTGCATGAGTGCTGTGAAGAGAGAGGGACGCAGGAAGTAATCTGTGCTGCTTATGAACTTGTTCGGGAAAGATTAGAAACCAAGAAAGAAGAGAGTAAGATATTGTTTGGATTTCTCAGTGCAAACTTATTATTGTTTTTGTATTTGTCTTCAATATGTATGTTGCTATATGGATGCCTGCATATGTGCCTGTGTGTGTGTGCATGCATCATGCATGTACCCTGTAAAAATATATTTCTATGTGCTTATCCAAAATACAGAAAAGAAAAGTACATGTTTGGGCCATGGAGAGCTCATTTTCTTTTAGGAAATTAGATTGTTTATGTGAGTATCACTTTGGGCTTATCTGCCCTGTACTGAGGCAATGATCCTAATTTGCTTCCTTGGTGATGTTCTACAATTGCGGAATCAAATGAGAAAAACTGACTTGTTGGCGATATTACCTGGATGAAGAAAGAGTTCCTGCTAGTGCTGTCCTAGATTTTCTGAGAACACTACTACTGGTATAAATTACTGGAACTTAGAAGTCTTGCATGGTGCATCAAAGATAGAGTGTCATTTGTACTCTGTATAGTAGGTTCAATCCCAAAAACTTCTTACTCAACAAAAAGACTGTAGTTTTAGGTGCCTGTATGTGCTCCATGCAAATATTTGTAACTTGTAAGTGTGATTTGATCACTTTGCTTCACAAAGTGGAATGTAAAATGACACTGTCATACGAAGAGCTCCTGTATTTTTTTGGATGTTTCAATAATTTAATGTATGATTTTTTTCCGCCTTTTCCGATGTAGTTTTTCCAATTTCCACATGCAGGCATTGTATTTCTTCTAATTCTTCTATTCCTGTACAATGTTGACCACTTCTTTTGATTCAGGTTGGAATGGTCCACCAAATTTGAACCATGTTGCTGATATGATGCGGAAGCAGCAAACTGCTCCTATAAATGAGTTTGAAATTTCTCATGACAGTGCTTCCAATACGTGGCATGTGGATGGAGCAGGGTTGCAACGTTTTGTCCAAATGACAAATTGGAGGTTGTAAATTATTTTGTGTTGCTAGTATCTACATTTTCCCTGCTGTCATTGTCTCTTGCCCAGTTTTTTCTCATTTTTAGAATTGTGTCCCTGCAAAGTGGGAGTTCAATTGTAGAGCATCTTCCTCATGTATGAAATGACAAAACCAAATTTTGAACCTAGGGCCTTTGTCTAAACCAATGTTTATTAGATCATCTTGTTTTGAACACTGGGTTTGGACATACATTTCATGAGAAAGTTGGTTTGAAACCAAAAAATGTGGGTTTTCATATTCAAACATATCTGGATGCTGTTTTCAGAAGATATTTTCCTTGTCTAGACAAAATTGATGCTCTTAATTTTACTGCTACATAGAAAAATTCAAATCTTGTCATTCCAGCAACTTTATCTTTTCTGGTTTTGGAGCAGATATATGGATTCTGAGAGAAGATTTCAACATGTTTTGGAGGCTTGTGGTGTATATAAATCTCTTATCAAACTTGGTGTAAAGGAGGGCGACACTGTGATTGTTGGGGAGGTATGTTTATCTAACTTTGTTCTTCTTCCTTCTCTCCCATGGGGGGCATTTTCTTTTGTATAATTTCTGTGTTATGTAATATCACAACAAAGGGTCTGTTTTATCTCTCTGTTTAAGTGCATGGTCAAGGTTATCAATTTGTTTGGAAATGTGACATGTAGTTTAATCACAGTCCTCTTCCATCATGATGGATCATGGAAAAATTTCGTTACCTTCCCATTTTCCAAAGAAGAAAAATTTACGTGAAATATCATCATAGTTGCGACCATTGTAGTTTTTGTTATGCATGCATAGTTCTATGTTGTACTTTGATTACTATGAATGACAAACCTTGGATGACTACTTGTTTCTCTGTTTCCTTCCAGATGGAGATGGTGTGGCACGATGCTTCGGACAATTCCAAAACATCAAAATTAAGGAAGTGGTCAGTAGATTCAATTAAATGACCTCAGAGACATGATTCGGCTCTGTTATTCTGATGCTAATCATGCATATTGGCCTGCTACTAATTATGGAAGGTATAACCAAGTCATTTTGGTCCTTCTATGATACCTTGTTAGAAAAGCAGAGGCGAAAATATACAACCATGATAATAAATATTTCTTGGCACGACACTGTGTCATAAGTACCTCTACCTAATTTTGACAATTTAATTTTGCTATTTAAGATATTTTTTTCAGTTCACTTCTGAAGTCACTACTTCTGTTCCATTCTTAACTGTATTTACTTCAACATTTGAAGTTGTTAATCCCTTCCCCCTTGACCAAAATCTCACAATGTGAAACTTTACAGCTCGGAATAAATGTGCAGTGCTTGACAATCTTGCAGATTGTATTGGGATACTTCCATTTTTTTGGAGTGAGAGAATGATCTGGAGGTTGGTCAAAGCATTCTACAGCAACTACAAGAACTGGAGGTTTAATGTTGTATTGAGTCGGGAATAGAGAAGTGGCTTATTCGGTGTTGTATCACAATTCATTCATCCTCGGGCATACCTGTTCACGAAAGGTGGCATGGGACTGTTGAGTACAAATCTTCAACAACTAATGTAAGTAACTGTTGTTTTTATGACCCGTGATGAACCGATATAGCTTGAAGATGATCACAAAATTATATCCATCTAGATGGTCTGTCTCAGTTGTACTCTGGTAGATGTGCTTCATAGGTGTTAGGATCATAACATGTCAAGGATTTTTTATTCCTTAATTTCCCAATAAGAACTCTCTTTGTTTTCCTTCATGGTTCTGTCTGTCACAATTTGATCATCAAATTGCTGAGAATTGATACTGGATTTTCTTTGGGCTAATGTCACTTTACACCACCCTCAAAGATGTTTCGATTCTCAATTTGTACCCTTAATGTTATAAATTGGTAGCAATATGGACCTTGGCCAAACTATCGTTCAGTTTTTTATCATAAATTGAAACATATGAGTTGAAAGTACTTCTGCCATGGGTTTATGTATAAATTCACAGACCGTTGCCGCCTCCTGTGAGTTGTACATGATAGGCTTAGCCATTATTTGATTAACGAAATCTTATTTTTACTACTAATGAACCTGACACATCTAGTGTCACATAAGGAATCATTAACCAACTTGGATGGACCTGCAGTCCGATTGGGAGAAATTATGCACCCCCAATGTGCTTTCGGTGACCAAATATGAACTGATCTACGATCTCTTTTTGCATAGAGCTGACAGCAAGCTTGGGAGCAAGCTAGGATTTTGCAGTAGGCCGTGGGCTAAAAAAATTATTATCCACGGTCTATATAGCGGTCAGTCATGATGGCCTTTTTAAGGATTCTATCCATTGGGATTGCCTGATGGGCCATTATTTTAAAAAATTTTAGCCCATGGAACTATTTGTTAGACTATAGACCAATCCAGGGTTGGCAATCTACGGGGCGGACAACCCATGATCAGTGGGGCTAACTGGTCAGTCCACCACCGGTCACGGCCTGTTTGTGGAACCTTAAGCTAAGTAAAAGCCCAGCAGAGTTATCAAGGGTTTGCAGCTTTTCAAGCTGTACAGACCTTTGCAATGAAAATGGGCCTTGATAAAACCCAAAATGACTTGATGGGCTTTACTGGATTCGGATGGATCTGTTAGACCTATCAAAGAAATGAGTCGATCTGAGTCAGGCTAAATACGACAATAACTCGTTAAACACGATACAAATTCTCTCATACACAATTTATATAATATTACACATAGTCTTGCTTAGATAAAATACAAAAATGGACCAAATTTGACGATTTATATTACAATTTATATTTTAGCATTTTAAATACATTAATTCAGCTTATATCTATTCTATACTACTAATAAAAATACCTTAACATAAAAATCTTTTGATTTATTATTTTACCCTCATAAAAATTAAAAATGTCACTCTATCCTTTCACATTTAACATTTAAATTACCATCATATCCTTATGTATTTAAATCTTCAAATTACATATAACATCACTTTTAATTATATATTCTCTATGTATAAATGTCAATTTTTATGAAACTGTTTGATTGATTATATTATTCTTAAAAAATATGTGCATCATTATAAGTTTTAACAAATATTCAAAAAAGTTTTCAAAAATTTCATCAATATAATATTATTTGCCTTATTTATAAAGATAATTTTATGACTACATATTTATATTTTATTTTTTTTCAAAATATTTAACCTTTTCATTTTTAAGGTAAAAAATAATGTATATATAGTTTTATATAATTTTTTAGTCACAATAAACTTTTCAGACTGTATTAAGATTTTATGTGAAAACTCAATTTTTTTAAAAATATTTAATATGCTTTATAATATTTATTATAGCATTGTAAATTAAATTATTCTAATAAACCTAGATAATCCTAAATAAAATAAGATTCTAAAATGATTGGTATATTGATAATTATTTTTATTTTATTCAATAATTTATAAGTGAAATCTTAATCAAATTAATTTTCTAATTATCTATTCTCTATTTATAAATGTTAATTTTTATGAAATTTTTTTATTGATTATATTATTATTAAAAATATATATATATTATTTTTCGTTTTAACAAAATATTCAAAAAAATCTTTAAAAACTCCATCAATATAATATTACTTATCTCATTTATAAAGATAATATTTATGACTACATATCTATATTTTATTTTTCATCAAAATATTTAATCATTTCATTTTTAAGATAAAAAATAATGTATATTTAATTTTACATGATTTTTTAGTCACAGTAAACTTTTTAAACTGCGTTAATATTTTACGTGAAAACTTGAATTTTTTTTAAAACTTTAATATGATTTATAATATATATTATAGCATTGTATATTAAATTTTATCTTAATTGACCTAACTAATCCTAAATGTAGTAAGTTCTATTACGATTGGTATATTGATAATTATTTTTATTTTATTCAATAATTTATAAGTGGAATCTTAATCAAATTAATTTTAAAAAATTTAAATTTCAAGCATAGCTAAAAAATACTTTCAATTAAAAAATTACAGAAACAAAATAGAACTTTAATTATTTTTTTTTATTTTTCTTAAAATTAGAACAATAATTCTTGAAAATATACAAAGTTTTTAAAAATTTTATAGTGGAACATGAGAGATGAAAGAATAAGTTTGGTAAATTTGAGATAATCTTTAATTTAAGTACACATATATCAATATTTATTTATTAATATTTTTTAAAAAAATTATTCACTTGCAATGCACATGATACATTGCTAGCATATTAAAAAATAAAAAAGGGCGCATACTTTGCACGGGACACCCTAATTATAAAATATATCGGATGTAAATTGAATAAATTTTTATATAACATGACTTAAATTTTGTCAAGTAAAATTTTTTTTTATTGTAATAAAAAATGAGTGTAATTTTATTATTATTTTTTTTTTCTTATTAGATGATTATGCCGACATGATTTAAGGGTTAGACCCAACATGTATGTGTGTGAGAGAGAAAGAGAGAGAGAGATATGGGTAAAGGACATGTGTCTTTCAAGATCTCAGCAACGGGTACATATTTCTGAACCCCAAACAGATCTCAGCCGTCCATATATTTCTCAAGCCCACGTTAAAGATTCGCTTTTACTGTTTGGCGCTACTCTAACATTCCACCATGACAGCAAATCCTGACCCTACATCTTACCTCGTATCAATTATCCGTGCCATTGACGTGTCACTCTATCTGCTTGACACGTAACCCGTACTCTACTGTAATGCACTATAGGTTACTCCAAATCTCTGTACTCTTTCCACATGGACCAACCAATGGACGACAACTCAAGGGTGTCGATCCTATGTTGTTACTTGGCAACAGTGTCCACGTGTCACTTCGGAAGGGTCTGGGCACAGTGGTTTGGATAGTCGTTGTGCATGGTACGTCCGTATTTCTGGGCTTGGTTGACACAAGGAGTTGTGCTGGCCACAGAATCCGGGTACGTGTTTTTCTTTTTTGAGAAAATCCCATTTTAGCCCTGAATGATATAAAAATTCTTAGTTTGTATTTTAAACAGTTAATTTTTTCATATTATCCTCTAAAAGAAATAAAAATGTTATAATATGATCTATCGTCTGATTTTCGTTTAATTATTCGTCTATTTTGTGTTAAATCAACCAATCAAAAATCACAAAATAGACGGACGACCAAATAAAAATAAAACGATGGACTAAATTAGAACATTTTTATTTCTTTGATGGAATAATTTGGAAAAATTAATTATTCTGAGAACATTATAAAATTTTTTGTATCTTTTAAAGGGTAAAATAGGATTTACCCTTTTCTTTTTTTGTTAGAGGGTGTTTATATTTGAACTGACTACTCCCTCAAGTTCATGAGGTGTAAGAAAGAACTGAATTATCAAATACTAGATTCAATCACTGAATCACACCTAAGGGTTCGGATATGTGTTTCCTTGTACTCTTGGCTAATTCTATGATACCGAAAAAAAATTAGTATTATACCAAAAGTTATCACAATTTAATTATATTTTTTTAATAGAAAATTACAATTAATTGATGTAATTTATTTTAAAAATTTTAAAATTATACTGAAAGTTATTACTTTTAATAATCAAGTTATATCTTTTAAAGATAAAGTTACAATATTTTGAATTAATTCATAATCGATCAGATAATACTCTGTTCAACTATGAATCTATCAAAGTAGTTGTAACTTCTTTTTGATGAGTTGTAACCTGATCTTTCAAAATTATAATTTCAACTGTATAGATTGTAACTTTCATTATCTTACACCTTAAAATGTTATAATTCAACTTTTAAAATTATAATTTTTGATACAATACTTAAAAAAATCGAGGGATTAAAAAAAAAACCTTTAACTGTGGTTGTAAGGAGCCCATTACTTTGTAATTTTATTCCTACATATTTGTCTATAACTTATTGATGAGCACTTGGTAGAGACTGAAA